CTCTCTCTCTCTCTCTCTCTCTCTCTCTCTCTCTCTCTCTCCTGTGCTGTCCCTCTCTTTCAATGTCTCTCTGTCTCTCTCTCTCGCTCTCTCTCTCTCAACCCCGTGCGTCAAGTCAGCGTTACGAAAGTCTTTGTTTCCGCTTGAGATTTTCAAAACAAAACCGAAAGGCAACCAAAGCGGAAATAAAGCATGAACAAATGACCAGTTTCAAACGGTGTAATATTTGGCATTGAGTAACACACTGTATACAAATAAAGCACAATGCAAAATGAAACAACAATACAATATTAAACAAATGATGTATGAGAGTATTACATTTGGACTGTCTTCCATCTATGGGTGGGCCATAGACGATATAAAGACGGAAGACAGCTCCTCAAAAGTGAAGCAAACGTGTCTCGGTCACAACTTGGTGGGTGGCTCCAGCATAGGTCATTGCCTCCTCCATGTTAGCGGTAGTTCTTGCTGTATTTGTTGTTGTTGTTTATTTTCCAGGAGGTTGGGTTTTGATCATTTATTTCATGCTGTATAAACAGTGTGAAATTATCATTAACAACTGGGACTGACTAATAACTGGTCGAGTGTGTGTATTGACGTGACCTCGCCATACTGCAGCTCCATCTCTCGATTGCAACTGTGCCGACTCTGGCTCGAAATGAATAAGTGTTTATACTCAGGGATACTTTGGCTTCATTTTCAGTTAGTGGAAGGATGTGGAGATGTAAAATACTTTCATAACTGTACACTCTATGAAATAACATGCTCAACAATGGCAAGGATTTTTACAAAATAAAAGGCAGAATTTCCAGCTTTTTGTTCTAATTATTGATTCGCATGAAGGCCTTCACCATATAAAATTGGCAATGCCTGTGATCCCCATAAATCCAGCCTTGACAGTAACTAGGCCTGACCAGGTCCTGCTGGGGGTAGGCCCATGACTGAAGCCCGACTCTAGGAAAAAGCACAAGTTTGTGGATTCTGAATCTTTTTTAGTTGATTCCTATCACCGAGGAACAATTTTCTCCACAGTCATGGGGGTGTGCAGATCATGCCACCATGTTATGATACATGATATGAAATGATATGGCAAAATATTGTTGTTTATATTACATTTGCTTTTTGGATCTCTTTACCAACAGTCTAACAGAGACAAATCTACAAGTGAAGATCAGAGTCAAATTCTGAAAAATGATTAATCCCCACATGGAAATAGCTTTTTTTACAACTGCTCAACACTGTGATAGAATAGTAACAATAACAAAAAGTAAGTGCATTTTTTTTATCAATGCATATTTGCAGAAAAAAAAATGAAACGTGAGGCAGAAGACCAATATGGACAAAAGTGAAACAGTAGATTATCAGTAGTGTGCTGATGAAGGAATTGTATAACTGCATTGCCACAGGAAGAAATGGCCTACAGTGGCGTTCCGAGGAGCACTTAGTCATTCTGAGCCTGTGACCCACGTGCTCCTCTCGCTCACCAGAGCAATACTTTGAGGGTGGGCCGTGATGAAGAAGAGTTTTGACAACATCCTCTTCTCAGTGACTACATGCAGAGGGTCCATCTCCACCCTCAGGACTGAGCCAGCCGTCTGAATCAGTTTTCTGAGTCTGCTGGTGTTGACCATCCGCCGGCTGTAATGCCCCGGCAAAACCATTGTGTAGAAAATGTAAACGCAGACTCATAAAACATCGGCAGTTTGGTTAAAGATGTTAAAGGACCACCCTGAAGAAAAAAAGAGCAGACTCTGGCCCTTTCTGTAGAGAGCTGCAGTGTTCCTGGTCCAGTACAGTTTGCTGTGCAAGTGGACATATAGGTTTGTACTCATGTATCATCTCCACTATTTCTCTTTGCAAATGTCAGACGTCAACTGCAATTTTATCTTGGTAAATAATCTGCAAAGCTTGAATTTCAGCAAGAAGCTTCGCAATATAAGGTAGAGCACTGTAAGAGCAAACACTCTTACCTCCGACTATCACATACAAATTTAAGAACGTGTAACAGAACCTAATTCTAACTGAACCTAACCCAAGTTGCTCAATGTTTGAATAACAGTCAATGTTTCCAACCTTGTAAAATGTTGGGTTTCAGCCACCATCTTAAAATTTAAGGATCTCATAAGTGGAGAAATTCCTGCCTATAAATTTGCTTATTATGAGGTCCTTGTTAAAAATAGCATCACTACAAAACTTTGAGGTAAAGGTTACGTCTATTAACGAGGTGAAATGTGGTCCAGAATTTGGCTTGTGAAATATTAATTTAGGAGAGACAATTTTTGAAAGCATACATGGAAGCTGTAAAAATGCTTTTCCCACTGTGTGCTAAATGACAACCAGAAGTTTTCCTCTCAGCATCTTTTGTTATGTCTCAAGTTCTTACTCCGTCTGAAACATAATGGAAATTACTCTCAAAACTGAGATCAAAAATTAAAATGTTTATGATGCATCTAAAAAATGTCATTTCAGACATTTAAACTGTTTTATTTGACATGTTAAAATTGCATAATCTTCATTGTTAATCTTTCTACATTTATCTATCTCAATTATTGTAAAACAGAAATAAAGACAATAAGTGGATCTGTTTTTTTTATTTGCATTCAATTAAATCCTGAATAAAATGTATATTTGATCCTACATCAAAACCTCAATTTGTTAGTCTGAGGATATGACAGGTAACTAACTTCATAATAACAGACATCAGCTGGTTCAGTAGCACAAAAGCAAAAGTTAACTGGTTTTAAAAGTAAATACATCCAGGAATCTCTTTCGGAAGGTGCTGAGGTAAGTCTCTTTAACCGAATCGCAAATTCAGAAAGTCAAAAAATAAAGTTAATAGTAAAGTGATCAAGGAGAGTAAATGTGGCACACATGTTTGCATGAACTTTGCTCTTTTTTTTCTATAGAATTTACACATGTTCTAATGAGATATACTGTATGTAGGACATGAATCGTTTATATTGCACAGACAGATGAATATAGCACAGAGATTATTGCACCGCTGAGACTCAAACATGTAAAACATAATTTGCACAATGAATGACAATATTGGAAATATGCTAAATTATTTCACAGTACCAGAGTTTTTACACAAAAATAACACAAAATACCTTCATTCTTATGGATACAGAATAAAAATGCAATAGAAACTGCTGATTTGAAATCAAATGTAAGCTTTTTGTTAGACTCTTGTATTTCATTTAATTCTGAAGGTAATATGACTCAGAAATCTATTTCGGATTTTGGTCAACTTGAAACCATAAATGAGAGGATTCAAAAGGGGAGGTATGACAACAATTTCCATTGCAATAAAGTTTTCAAGAGATTGAGGTAATTYCTTTGAACCATATCGTATACTCATGATATCAAAAAGCAYAGTAAAAAKAAAAGTCATCAAGGAGAGTAAATGTGGCACACACGTTTGCATGAACTTTGCCTGGTTTTCTATAGAGTTAAAACATGTTCTAATGAGATATATGTAGGACCAAACTATAAATACACCATGAAATACATAAATTAATATTGTAATATAAGCAACGATGTTGTTAATAATAGTTTCAGCTGGGAAACAAGCAAGTGCAACAATGATCCAATTCACACAGAAGAGTCTGGCAATATACGGGCTGCATAACTTCAGTCTGGATGTCAGACAAATATTTGAGCCTATAATGCAGAAAGGTGTGAACCAGGAGAAACACACTAACTTTATGAGTCTTTGCTTTGACATGACAGAGTGATACTGCAGTGGTCGACATATAGCCACATATCTGTCATATGCCATCACTGCAAGAAAAGAGAGGTCACTGCAGGCRTAAGAGTACATTACTAAAGCCTGAACAAGACATCCAGAATAAGAGATGASATGAACAGGAGAGAGCAGATCCCACAGAAATTTGGGGAAGAATCCGATTGTCCCATAAAGTCCATTCATGCAAAATGCACACAACAGAATATACAATGGCTCGTGCAGATTTTTATCCAAGATGATGGTCACAATAAGACAAATATTCACCAGCAAGGTTACACAATAAAACAGTAAAGTGATAGAGAATATAATTAATCTTTGATTCTTTGTTTCATTTAAACCTGAAAGAAAAAACAATGTTATTACAGAAATATTTTCCATCATATTTTGAAACCTTGTTTTTCTTGTGTGAAAGGTACTTCAGTCCCTGACACTGTCTGCTCTCTGGTCGCACTGCTTATAATATCTTGGACTACAGCAGGGAGGGAGGTGGGATTTGTAACCAGCCAATTGASGTTCAGAAAAAAAGTCAATATACAATTGTGTRATTAACTTGTAATCAACAAAGCCAAAGACTTATCAGTTAAGAGTACTTCCTGKTTAATTCTAAAAACACAAAGCTTCTATAGTATGCTACAGACCTGCTATATAAACCACAGTTTAACATTGTCAATAATTTGAGATAAGAATGACAAACTTTGAATATAAGATAAGATAAGAAGTCTTTTATTGACCCACAAAGGGGGAATTTTCAGTATTATGGCAACAGGAGTCAAAAAACATCAGCGAGTAATAAGAAACATGCAATACTTTAGTGTAAGGAAGATCAAAAAAATAGAAATATAGAGGCATATGAATGTAATTAAACAAGTATATATACAGTGTAAAGACAGGAAGAAATATAGTGTGAGGATATTTACAGTGAACGAATTTCACATGAATCGTTTATATTGCACAGACAGATGAAGATAAAACAGAGATTATTGCACAGTTGAGACTAAAACATGTTAAAGTACAGTTCATAATGGTGGTGCATGTAGTTTTGACTGGGAGCAGAGCTGGTTGTTTAGTCTTACTGCTGCAGGAAGTTGATTGGATTAACGATCGGACAGGTTTGCTGAAATATGAGGTGTGGAAATGGCCAAAAATGCCCATCGGATTTTTTTGGATTAGGGATGGCATAACTTTAATTAATCAAGCTACTATGCTCCACTCCTGTTTAAGAGGCTATGAAAGACCAACAAAAATAAAAAATTCTGAGACACAGAATAGTGTCCTAGCATATTTTCATGCTTGACTGTACTTACAGTAACCCTCTAACATGAAACACATGACAACACTCTGTTACGGGCCTCGGCATTGTCTTATTTCTTCACAGGTAAAGCATTCCTCCACCCTCCCAAGAGCCCAGAGGTCCCCTGCTGTGACTGTCTGCCCCCCCCTATTGCGACATCGAATTAAACATTAAAAAGTGAAAAAAAAATCCTGGATCTGCCTGTTAATATAATCTGTGATTCGACCTTGTATTTTTTGCCTAATCCTGCATAGAAACACAAAAGCAAACCAAAAAAACATTGCAAATGACAACATAACCTCCTTACTGCAGATTTAAACGCAGTATATATCAAATTCTAAATTCCATCTCAAAGTTTATCTGGCAATTATAACACAATATAAATCGACATGTATTTTGCACATCGTTGCACCGACAATGATTTTATCAAACAAAATATCCAGGAATACAGCAATGGATCTAATTCTGTTGTCCCTCACAATTCCATGATATTTTGGCTTAAGCAATTCGATACAAATGCAGTAGAGAGTGTGGTCAAGCAGATGTCCTCATGTTACAGCACAGGTTGCTAAATGACACACAGATATGGGAGTCATATCCCTGCATTGTAAATGGCAGAGGCCTTTGACTGCTGCATCATGTGCAATGCATCTGATGAACCACAACACTTCGAGAGATCTGCAGTGAGCTTTCTAAACAGTGTCACATTTCAGTGAAAACACAAACAACTACAAAATAAAACCTCACCATTAACAACACTCGATCATGACATCCTTAAAATGGCTGCCTGTTGTTGCAGCCACTGTTTCAATCATGCTTCTTTCCCAGGTGACAGCAGAAAAGGTTTACTAGGTGAAATGTTAGTTCAACAGGTTGAGCATTAATTCATTAGTTCTGTCTACTTTTACAAGTCAAGTGTTTTGCTATTTGTGCATGCACAGCACCTCAGTAGCAAAGGTAACAGATTATATACCTGTTACCCAATACCAAACCCAAATTGTAAAGACAATAAGCATTCTTAAGAACTCATATGTACACCAAAGTCAATTAACACATTTCCTGAGTTAATTTCTAAATAATGAATCACTGTAATGTTACTACAATATTCATATATAATTGTTATGATCAACATCATTTTACAGTAGTACTAAATAAAAAGGAGGCTCCTGGTTAATCACAGATTAATCAGCCTAAACCTTTAGAACATCTGGACATCCAGTCTTGTTATGCATACGGTAAGGTTTTCGGGGATGCTCGAGCCCTCGCTCTTTTGAATCCCCTAGAAGGAGCATAATTACACTCTGAAACATTATCCAAGATGGCTACTGTATGTTGGCTATGTGTCCAGAGTTCGATGGTGATGGCTCAGCAGTGTTTTAAAGACATTCAGGGGTGCCTGGTAGTGTAGTGGGTTGTGCCGGCACTCCATGTGTAGAGGCTACAGTCCTCGCTGCAGTGGGCCCCGGTTTTTTACTGCGTGTCATTCCCCTCTCTCTGCCCCCTGCTTCCTGTCTCTCCTTCACTGTACTATCACTAAAGGCACAAAAGCTTGGCACCTTTTTTAGAAAATGCTCAGAGCTCTCACAAACTTCATGGATGAACTGATAAGATTTAAGTAATCAACAGTCAAGGTCGTGAGGAATTTTTGACCATCCTCACACATGACTGTTTTTGCCACTGTATATTATATATATTGCATATTGCACTTTATCTGTACGGTAGAACAGCGCCTGTCTAATTCCACAGATACTCCCTTCTCCCTTCTCTCTAAGCAGTACCCAGGTCAGGTTATAGATAAAGGGCAAACCAACAGTACAATGTGGTGTCTACGCTTACATATCTAACTCAGGGTCTTACATATCTAACTCAGGGTCTTACATATCTAACTCAGGGTCTTACATATCTAACTCAGATGCCCCAGATAAAGAGACCTATAGCTGGCTTGAAAGATAGGTGAATACCTATCTATGGCAGCCCATGTCAAATTTCCAAAGGGTCATTAAGTAATCTGTTCCATGGATACATTAGAATTACTTTTGCACTGCAATTACTGAAAAGTCCACTGGGGACATCAACTGATTAATTGATCCATCAGTTCTCATCACAAATATTTTGAAATATAAGGAAAGACCAGTCATTAATCAAATTGAGTAAGGTAGAGACAAAATCAATCTGCATCAGAACACACTATATTTTAAACCTGAAATTGTATTTTGTGGTATATGAAATTTTGTTTTGTGTGTATGACAACATATGGTACGTTTTTCCTTAGGATATATATTGTACATCATTTGTAGACAGCTACATCCTGGTTATCAATGTCCATGTCTTGAATAATGATATTGGTAAAACCATATAATAAATAATTGAACCTTCAACACTATTCATTAACAGATGGATTGCTATTCATCAGTTCTTCCACATGACACCTCTTTGGATGCAAAAGCAATTGCTTGCAGAGGTGAAAGCAGGCAGGTGTAATCATGCACTACGTATAGCTAAAAACCCAAATATAATATGGTGTAAGAATTTGATTGACAATGTTCAATAGTGATTTATATGCTGTATGTTTATGGCTCCATGCTTTTGCTTTAATGCCCTGAAATGTAACTGATCTTCGCCATAAATGTCTTTTCTCTTAAAAACATTACAATGTTACATTTAGCAGATTACTTCAGATTAGACAATATGCACACTGTTAAAATCTCAACAAATCCTGAG